TGATATTAAGTTACACGTGTAATAGTATTTAGATCATCTTTAAGTTTTTGGTGTAAATTGTGTAAAATTTACAGGACAGATCATCTGTTTTACATTCAACAAATTATATGCTTTGTTTCATTAAAATGGTTATAATCCCCTCCATGTACCATCATTTGACAGTGTTTCTCTCTATTCATTTTAGATCTCTTCTTCTTTTTTTTTTGTTTTGTTTTAACCACTCAGGCCTATATAATAATTTACACCACCAAAGGGCACTTTCTGCAAGTCTACCTCCTGGCTGCCAGCTCTCCGTCTCTCTCTTTCCATGAATCTAGAGTCCTCAGCTGCTCTGCGCCCACCCCCACCCCCCTTCGTGTCCCATCTTTGCTTCCATCTCTGGTGTCGCTGCTTCTCTGGATAGGGTCCCCCATTCCACTTGTGCTCTTCTCCCTTGATAGTCCTAGTGTCCTCTGTTTCTGGGCTGTAAGATTAACTATTCCCCCGATTTTGTTACAAAACTTCCACCTTTACAATTGTGACTGTTGCAATTAGTCATGATAACAATTACTATTAAACATAAGAATCTTATCCACATCTCTTATCAGACCCATCTAGACAAAATTATTAATATCTTTTTAATAAGTTGCATAATTTTCTCTGTAGAATTCTCACACATCTTTTGTTATCATTTATTGTTGTAAATAGTTTTCTCTTATAACATTTTCTGTTTGCTGCTAGGATAAACAAATGTAGTTCATTTTTACATACAAATACTACTACATTTAGCCATCTTGATAAGATCTTTTATTATCTCTATTAACTTGGTTATAGGTTCCCCCCCAGGGGTGTGGGTGGGGGGATTAGAGGTGTTGTCTTTATGTACAAATAATCGTAGTTTTATTTCTTTGTAATTCTTGTGCCTCCAAATCATTAGTAATTTAAAGTGAAGATTTCTCATATTTCTGCATGTAGGATAGTGTTTTTGTTTTGTTTTGTTTTTGCTTTTTATATTGTCTTTCAGGCATAGTAGTTGTATACATTTTATGAGTTTTGTTTTTTGCATTGATTAATATGATTATTTCTTCTCCTTTTACTACTGGCTTATTGTGGTCAGTTGTTTTGTATGATTTTTTTTTTTTTTTTTGGTAACACAGAATTACATCTTTGCATACTGGGATAATTGTATCTTTTAGATAGCTTAAAATAATCATCCTTGCTTTCCAACATAATTGTATCCTTGCATCCTTACCAGGATAATTGCATACAGTTGGTCATGATACACTGTTTTATTATGTATTCTTGGATTTAATTTAGTAGTATTTTAATTGAATTAGCCAATGAAACCAGCTGGGCTCGATATTTCCTGTATGAGAACATTTGAAATCACTGATTCAATTTCTTTAATAGTCAGACTTTTTTATTATTTTTAGTTACATTCCTGACTACTAGATTTCTGGCTTGCATATTTGTATGATAATGGTTTTATTTTCTCTATTAGTTTTTTGTTGTAAGTTTGTTCAGTTGGTTCTCACTCATAATGCACCAACATCACAATCGTTGCTATGCTTGAATCCATTGTTGTAGCCACTGTGACAATCCTTCCTGATGGGGTTCTTGCTCTTTTTTATTAATCATGTACTTTACCAAGCATGATGTCCTTCTCCAGGGACTGACCCCTCCTGATAGCATGTCTAAACTATGTGAAGATAAAGTCTGGCCATCCTCTCTTCTGAGGAGCATTCTGAATGTACTTCTTCCAAGACAGATTGTACTTATTTGTTGGTATTAATTTCATATCTGCATTAAGTTAGCAGTTCAGCTGATCTTCCTTGTAGTTTTAGTTAATTTCAGTCCTTCCTTTAACTTGTCTTTAATTACATATTTATGAAACATTTATTATTATTATTTTCATATTAGAATTTTTTTATACTTTTAGGGTAAACTCCTGATTCTTCAAGGTCAGTGATTTTCAGGGTATTGAATGATCCCATGTTATGACTGTAACTATGCCGATACAAGAGTCCTGGTGTGGTGCTATAGGATAAGCATTGGACTGCAAGATCAGTAGTTCAAACCTACTAGCTACTCCTCAGAAATCCTATACAGGGTCACCATGACTCAGAACCGATTTAACACCTTTTAACAACAGCAACAATAATACCAATACAATCCAACATACATACTGTTATACCTTTCTTGTTTCCTAGGATGAATATCCTTTACTGCTCTCTAGGTCCTACCAAGCTTTCAAAGTCCTACTGAAATTTCACATCCACAAAGAAACCTTTTCTGATATTCTAGTTTAGGTTCATTGTTTTGTATTTTGGTTATCTGTTTATTTTTCACATACTTATTCTTCACGGGCAAGGGAGCCCTTGTTCACTGTATGTTCACCATCTAGCACAATACCTGGCACAGAGTAGGTGTTCAGTATTATTTGAATGAATTAGTAACTGATTATAAACTGTTTTAAAGTTATTTTTGGTAAATTTTGTATATACTTAGCATAGCCACTTGGTGGCACTAAACTCATCTTAAAACCTTAAGTGTTTTTATACCCATCCAAACCGCAATTACTATTTTTCACACAAAAAAATAGTGAGCTGTAATGTATCATCCATAGTGTAAATCATTATCAATATCAAAATAAAAATATCAATAACCATAGGGTATTTTTCTAAATCTTAAAAGAAAATTACTAATTTGATAGGTCACAGATCTGAAGTCCTTCGATCATAAGCTACTGGAGAATACACTCTGCTGTGGCCTCAGCACCTAGCCCAGCGTTGAACACATACATAGCTTCTGTGTGCTGTGATTTTTGAAAACATATGTGAATACGCATGCATTTTAACTTCTCCCAACTTTACTCCTACCTCTTTTACCCCCAGGTAATTTCACCCTTGCAAGTTCAATACAAGATAAAGAAGCACTAAATATTATTTAAATTTTAGTCAGCTTCCTTTATGAAGTCCCCTTTAATTATGGGTTTTTTTCACTCTGATTATAAAAGAACTATGAATCAGATCAAAAGACATTAAAAGAAATTATTAGCAGTATTAATTATATTCTAGATATCCTACTGTTGTTGTTAAGTGCTTTCGAGTCGGTTCCGACCCATGTGACCCTGAAGGGTTTCCGAGGCTGTAAATCTTTACGGGAGCAGAAAGCCTGGTCTTTCTCCCGCAGAGCAGCTGGTAGTTTCAAACTGCTGACCTCGTGGTTTGCAGCCCAATACGTAACCACTACGCTACCAGAACTCCTTAGATATCATACTACTTTTCCCTACTTCATCAACTAAAAGACAGTTTTGAGTATAAATACTTTGAGAGCAATTATAGAATTGTGGTGGTATCATTATATTAGTGAATTGGGGGCAAGAGTATTCTCTAGCAGAAACATGGTCTTATCAAGGAATTTCTCATATATACATTGTTAAAAATGTAAGAACTGGTCAGTATTCATAAGATCACAAAACTCTTGGCAAGATAAAAAGTAAAGGGCTCTAAAGTGTGCTATACGGTAAATACACAACTACAAGGTCAGTTTGAACCACAGAGTCAGCGGTTCAAATTTACCAGCCACTCCTCAGAACCCCTATACATTGTTGCTATGGGTTGGAATCAACTCGACAGACTTAACAACATAAAAATTATAATGGAAGGTAATTCAAGTTTTTTCTTTTGAATCATGGAGAAGAAAAATAGATTATATACTAAAATGTAAAATCATAAGTTAATAGCATCAAGGAAATATTCTAATTAGAAAATGGTATTTAATTATAGTAACAAAACTGTAGTAGGATTAAGCTTTATTTAAAAAATCATTTATCAAGTTAGTTCAACTCTACAATTAACCTTGGCTGCATTCACACTGATAATCTTTGAGATTCTTTCCAACTCTGTGATTTCAACACTGTGTAGATACTGTTGAGCATATGGAAGAAAATCCTTGTCCATGTGTAGGTTATAATTTCTTGGGAAGACCACGTATGTACACAAAGCCTAGGTATAGTGGCTAGTACACAGATTCTAGAACCAGACTATTTGCTCCTTACTTAACTGTGTATCCTTCCTTACACAAGGTACTTAACCTCTTTGGACCTTAGCTTTTGCAAATGTAAAATGAGGATAATAATATCACTCCTTCATAGGTTGTTGAGAGGATTAAAATAATTAATAAATGTGAAGTGCCTAGAAAAGTATCTAGTACATAGTAAGTGTTATCTCATTGTTTTCTTTTCTAACTAGAATGGAAGCTCCAAGTCATTTGTAAAATGAATACTTAGCAGTTAGATAATTGTACTGTAAAGACTATGTTATATAGTGAAAAAAAATGTTGACAAGATTTATCCTTTTTTTAGAAATTCAGATGAGAGTAGAAACTAATATGAATTGTTGGAGAATTTCTCTAGAATTAGTAGTTAGATAGAACTTGTACTGGGTACTGAAATATGAGTTGAATTTGGGTAGGTAGAAATGAGTTTAGTGGAAGTGAGTACGTGTTGAGGACAAGTTCTATTGGCTTAACCAGCTGTAATTCAGATTTTTAAAAAAATTGACCATGTTACAAGGAGCTCTGGTAGCGTAGTGGTTACGAATCAGGCTGCGAACCTTAAGGTCAGCGGTTCGAAACTACCAGCCGCTCCGCGGGAGAAAGATGAGGCTTTCTACTCCCATAAGGATTTACACCCTCGGAAACCCTGTACAGGGTCGCTATGGGTCGGAACCGACTCGACGGCACTTAACAACAACAACAACCCTAAATGGATTGGTATTCACTCATGTATGAGTTCATTCATTTATTTGGTTTTCTAGAGTCTTCAGCTCCTGAATTATAGCAAATTACTGGAAATAGATTAGAATACAAATTAAAAATGCTTACTATATTTATACTAAGACTATATCTGTAGTGCAATATAAAAATTATTACCTTAATTTATTTCTGAGGTCACCATCACCAGTTGAAAACTGTATTTTAGAACAAATTGCTAATACCTTTACTTTTGTATTTTATAGGTAATTAATAATGCTTGTGCCACTCAAGCCATAGTAAGTGTGTTATTAAACTGTGCCCATCAAGATGTTCGTTTAGGAGACACATTATCAGAGTTTAAAGAATTTTCACAAAGTTTTGATGCAGCTGTGAGTACAACCTTTCTCTTCATTTAAGTGCCCTATTTGTGATATTCTTATTTTAATATGTCTATTTTTAAAAATTGTTGTAGATGAAAGGTTTGGCACTGAGCAATTCAGATGTGATTCGACAAGTCCACAACAGTTTTGCCAGGTAATAACTGTACATTAAATAAATACTGTTTGAAAGCAATGGTGTTTCAGTAGTAAGAGTTTTCCTCTTCCATGTGGGAGACCCAGGTTTAATTTTTGGTCAGTTCATATCAACTGTTGCCTCGACCTATGCTGTCATTGGAGGCTTACATGTTGCTTGCTGTGTGCTGAACCTGTTTTAACAGAGCTTCCAGAATAAGACAGACTAGGAAGAAAGGCCTGGTGATCTACTTTCAGATATTAGACGTGAAAGACCTATAGATCACAATGGTCTGATTCCTTTGTGCATGAGGTTGCTATGAGTTGATTAGCAACAGACTAGTACTGTTTATTTTCTTTGCTTCTATGTTTCTAACTATTTTTTTCTTTACCGTAGACAGCAAATGTTTGAATTTGATGCAAAAACATCAGCAAAAGAGGAAGATGCTTTTCACTTTGTCAGTTATGTTCCTGTAAATGGAAGGCTGTATGAATTAGATGGATTAAGAGAAGGACCAATTGATTTAGGTAATCTCATTCCTCTTTGCTGCTCATGAAATAAATTTAGTATGTAACAAAATTTGTAGGATGTCTGGCATTTCACTTTTGACAATTAAGAAAAGGTTGAGTATTCTACTTCATTTTAGTTAACAGTGCTATTTAAATTTTATTAGGAAAAGTGACTGAGGTAGTATATATCATGAAGGTCTTAAGTTCTTCAATACTATATATAATGAAATATCATAGATAGGACATATTGATTACTACAGTTCAATTAGAAGTCATGGTGTGCTGTGAGTTAATGCGCTGGACTGCAAGGTCGGTTTCAACCTCAAGGTTGGTAGGTTCAAGCTCACCAGCTGCTCCTTGGAAACCCTATTACAGGGTCACTATGAGTTGGAACTGACTTGATGGCACTTAACAACAACAACAACAACAATAAAAACATAATTCAATTAGTACCATTAATTTTTTTTTTAAGAGGAAATATTGTTTAACCTATAGATTATATATCATACATATATGTTTTCAAGTTAACTTTTAAAAACTACTCTTTTTTAATGAACTTAAATATTCTTTTGATTTTTAATCTATGGTTAACAGAAATCAAACATTTATCATCATTTTATATTAAAAATTTTTTTAAGGAGTTGGATCATTAATAATCTTTAAATCAGTGCTTTAACTATCTAATTTTCTACAAAAATAAGTATTTTTTTCAGTTTTTATTTAGGTAATAATAATGTGCTGTCCTATGTTTCAAAGAACAGGTTTTAGATCAGAGTCTGATCTATTCTGTCTCTAACCTTGAGCAAAAATAATAAATGGTTATTAAAGTTGGGGTTACAGTGTTTGACTCTGGAATAGGTCTGAATTAATAGGTCCACAGAAGAATTTTAACTCTGTATTTTGACCTCATTAAGCTTAAAATTTTTTTAAATTAGGCTTTAAGTTTTACAAAAGTTGTTTTAACTGAATTTAATGTTATGTGGTGCTGGAGGACAAGCGCTGGACTGCTAATCACAAGGTCAACTGTTCAAATATACCAGCCACTACTCAGAATCCCAATGTAGGGCTACTGGGAGTTGAAACTGACTCGGTAGCGCTTAAAAACAGCAAAAGTGTTTAAGTATGCCATCCATAAATCTTTTTGCTTCCATATTTAAAAATATATATAAGTTCAGTTTGTACTTTTGTACTGTTCCTCACATATTAAGCCAATCTAATTTGTCTAATGCAAATTTAAGGAGCTCTGCTTGTGCAGTTGGTTAAGTGTTGGGCTGCTAACCAAAAGTTTGGTGGTCTGAGCTCACTACTGCTCTGTGGGAGAAAGGTAAGGCAGTCTGCTTCTGCAAAGATTCTGTACAACCTTGGAAACCCTCTGGGGCAATTCTGTTCTGTCATACAGAGTCACTGTGAGTCAAAATGGATTCAATGATAGTGGGTTAGGTTTGGTTTTTAGTGCAGATTGCATGCTGCCTCTGTATTAAAAGTTGTTTTCCTAATAATTTTTAATTAAAATTAGAAGAATATTCCTTCAGTCCTGTAAAAGCTGTTTCCCTAGTATGGTGGTTGATTTGATATCTGTATTTTCTCTTTTGGCTTCTATCGGGTCAATCTTTTTTGTTTTTCCTTTTCATTAGAAACATCAAATATAAAGAAATTAGAGAAGAACAAGCAATGTTGCTATACAATTGTGGCTATGCTAATTTATTTTAAAACACAAGGGAGTTAAAAAACACTGGGTGGAATCAGTATTGCATTATACATGGATTTCAGTTTTTAATTTGATAATTATAAAGGTAGGAGTCCGTCAGATGTGGTTTGGGTCCTTATTTTCCTACTAACATATGAAATAGTTATTCTTAGTCCTCAATTTTATCCTTTGTAAAATGAGAGTGGTTATTTTATCACAGGTTTAATGAGCTAACTCACTAATTTACTGTTTTTTTCAAACATGTAAAATGCTCTGCATCTACTAAGTAATACTGTAATGTGGCATTGTAAATTCTCTTGCCAGTCACCATTACTGAAAATTAGAATTAACATTTAACATGCTGTTACTGTTGTTAAGTGCAGTCAAGTTGGTTCCTATTCATAGTGATCCAGTGTAGGGTTTCTGAGGCTGTAAATCTTTGCAGGAGCAGAAAAACCTCATCTTTTTCCCTTGGAATAGTTGGTGGGCTTGAACGTCATTCTTGTGGTTCACAGTTCAGTGTCTATCCTATGGATACTTAGCATAATTGTGCTAAAAAGATTTTTCTTCTAAATATGCTAAAATACTTGTAAAAAGAGATTTTGAGCTAAACTATTGAGATAATTTCTATATTGGGTTTTCTTATTTTTATTTGTTTTTAATTTTCTTCCTAGGGGCATGCAATCAGGATGACTGGATCAACGCAGTGAGACCAGTTATAGAAAAAAGGATACAAAAGTAAATGTTCAGCTAACTTCATTGGCATGCATAACATTCTGGATTTTAAGCATTTTCAGTGCTTTTATTCTTTTTTCTTTAAATTCTGTCCTTTGTTGCAGCAAAGAGTAGATTTGTCCTGATCTATCCTGTCTTTATCCTTGAGCAAGAATAGTAAATGGTTATTAAGGTTGGGGTACAGTCTTTACTTCTGAAACAGCTCTGAATTAATAGATCACAGAAGAATTTTAGCTCCTTTTTTTGACTCAGTACTTACTCATTTTCACTGAATTAATGTGTTCAGGATGATCTTTAAACTTTAGTAATAGAACATCTGGTTGTCTTTAAAGAAGTTAGGCATGTTGATCTCCATTATGGTAGATATTTTTCAGAGATATTTGTACTACAGGTATTTTTAGATTTTGTTAGCTTATTTGTTTATTAAACTTGTATTTTGTGATAATTATATATTACCATGTAGATATAAGAAATAATACTAAGAGAACCTGTGTACCACAATTTTCTTCAATGGTAACATCTTACAGAACAGTAGTACAATATCATAACCAGGATGTTGATATTAATATATTTGATACAGCCAAGAAATTCCATCACCTTGAGGATCCTTCCTGTGTCTATATATACCCACTTCCCTATTCTTGCTGTCCCCTCATCCTTAATCCCTGACAATGCCTAATCTGTTTTCAATAATTTGATAATTTTTGTCGAAGAATGTTTTATAAATGGGATCATACAGTAAGTAATCTTTTGGAATTGGCTGTTTTCACTCAGCATAATTCTCCAACGATTCTCCCAAATTCTTTGCATGTATTGACAATTCATTCTTTTTATTGATGGTTAGTAGGTAGTACTCCATGATGTAGGTGTACCACATTTTGTTCAACCATTCACCTGTTGAAAGATATCTGGTAGTTTCCACCTTTTGGCTATTAGAAATAAAGCTGCTATAAATCTTTGTGTACAGATTTTTGTGTGGCCATAAGTTTTTATTTCTTTGGGATAAATGCCCAGAAGTGCTAATGCTGGGTCATACTTATAGTTGCATATTTATTTTTTTAAAAAACTGGCAGAGTACTCAGAGTAGCAGTACCATTTTACATTCCACAACAATGAATGGTTATCCAGTTTTTCTGCATCCTTACTGCCATATGGTGGGGTGTTTTTTTTTTTGCTTCAGCTATTTTGATGTTTAGTAATGTTTCGGTAGTTTTAATTTGTAACTTTCCAAATGGGTAATGGCTAATGATAAGCATCTTTTATGCCTTTTGCACATTTTCTAATTAGATTTTTTTTGGGGTATTTTTACTTTTGAGCTCTGAACATCTTTATATACTCTAGGTGTTAGTCCTTCATTGGAATAATTGACTGCAGATGCTTTCCCATCTGTAGTCTGTACTCTTTTCTTCCCAACTTCATCTTTCATAGAGGAAAAGTTCTTAAGTTCTTAATTCTGCCTGTTTGTTTTACCAGATCTTCCCTCTACAAGTTGTGTTTTTTTGTCAAGTCTAAGATTTCTTTATCTACCCTTAGATCCTGAAGATTTTCTTGAAAGTTTTTTTCTTCTAAAAGATATATAGTATAGCCTATTCTGATCCATTTATAGTATAGCAGTTTATGATCCATCATCATTTAATTTTTGTACAGTGTGAAGTTTAAGTCATTTATTTATTTATTTATTTTTGCGTATGTACATCTAATTGCTTTGCCACCATTTGTTGAAAGGACTGTTTTACTTCCATTGAAGTACTCTTGCAATTGATGGGCATTTTGATTGCCTCCATCATTTTGCTATTGTGAGCAGTGCTTCAATGAAGATGGGTGTGCGTACTCTATTTCTGTCATGGCTCCTATTTCTATACGATATATGAAGGGATTACTTGGTCATATGATATTTCTATTTTCAACTTTTTGAGGTAGTGCTGTACCATTTTACACACCGATTATATATACCATTTTATAATCCCAGCAGCTATGCATGAGGGTTCTAGTCTCTCCACACAGTTGCCAGCATTTTTTTTTTTTTTTAATTATACTGTTAATGTTGGGGTAAGAAGATACTGTTGTTTTGATTTGCATCTCCTGACCCAAGTCATGGTATTTTCAATAGCCTCATATGCTTATGAAAGTTGGACAATGAATAAAGAAGACTGTAGAAGAACTGGTGCAGCGTTTGATTTATGTTGATGGTGTAGAATATTAAAAGTACCATGGACTGCCAGAAGAACAAACAAATCTGGTTGGAAGAAGTACAGTCAGAATGCTCTTTAGAAACCAGCGTGGTGAGACTTCGTCTTTCATGCTTTGGACATGTTATCAGGAAAGACCAGTCTGGAGAAGGACTTCATTCTTGATAAAAGTGGAGAGTCAGCAAAAAAGAGGAAGACCGTATGAGATGTAATGGCACAGTGGCAACAGCAATGGATTCAAGCATAACAATGATAGTAAGGATGGCGCAGTATCAGGCAGTGTTTTACTCTGCTGTACATAAGGTTACTGTGAGTCGGAACCAATTCAGTGGCACCTAACAACACTGGCTAATGGGAGTCCTGATATGGGGCTGTAGGATAAGCACTGGACTGCTAAATGCAAGGTTGGCTGTTCAAGCCCGCCAGTCGCTCCTTGAGAACTCTATACAGGTTTGCTATGAGTGGAAAATGCCTCATTGGCACTTAATAACAACACCAATGGCTAATGGTCGCACTGTGGGGAAAACACTCTACTGTTAACAAGTTTTTCAATTCATACCTATCAGCCATTCAGTGGGAGAAAGATAAGACTTTATGCTGTTATAAAAATTTGCAGCCTCAGAAATCTTACACAGGATTGCTATGTGTTGGAATCGACTCAGTAGCAGTGAGTTTGATTTTGTTTTGGTTAGTGACTTATGATGCCAAGCATTTATTTCTTCATATGTTTGTTGGCTACCTGAATGTTTTAGTCAGTGAAATGTCTATTCATGTCTTTTGCCCTTTTTTTAATTGGATCATTTTTCTTTTTTTATTGAGGTGTTGAAGTGTTCTATAAATTTTAAAGATTAGTTCCATTTCTGACATGTCATTGCTAAAAAACTTTTCCCAGTCTGAGTTTTCTTTTTACTTTTTTGGTGAAATCTATTGATACACATAAGTGTCAGATTTTTAGTAGGTCCCAGTCATTTAGTTTGTCTCCTGTTGTTTGTGTATTTTCAGTTATATTTGATATTATGTTTAGGCCATGTGTCAGAGCCCCTCAGTTTGTCCTATTTTTTCATAGTTTTGGATGTGGTGTCAGATACCCGTCTTATTTCATTCTTCTGCAAATGGGTATCCAGTTTTGCCAGAACTATTTGTCAAACACACTATCATTTCCCCTTTTAATGTGTTTTGATCCTTTGTCAAAAGTCAATTGACTGTAGATAGATGATTTGATTTTACGACTGGGTTTTCACTTGCATTCGTCAATGTCTCTTGTACTAGTACCAGGCTGTTTTGATGACTGTGACTGTGTAATAGGTGTTGAGATCAGAAAATGAGAGACTGCTACTTTGTTCTTCTTTAGTAATACTTTAGGTTTTCAGGTCTCTTTCCCTTTCATATAAAGTTGATGATTAATTTTTCCATCTCTTTAAAGAATGATGTTGGAATCTGTATTGAGATTGCATAATGTCTGTATATTGTTTTGAATAGTATTGACATTTTCACAATGTTAAGTCTTCTTCTATCCATAAGCATGGTGTGTTGTTTTATTTATTCTTTTATGTAAATCTCATGGTTTCTTATAGAAGTGTTTTGTTATTTTTTTGTACAGTTTTGGTTTCTCTGTTTAGATTATTCCTGAGTATTTAATATTTTGGATGGCTATTGTAAAATGTGTTGTCCTGATTTCCTTTTCCAATCTCTATTAGTGTAAATGAATGTGACTGAATTTTGTATATTGCTCTTATACCCTGCCACTTTGCTGAATCTTTCAGTGAGTTACTATAATTTTCTTGCTGAATCTTTAGGATTTTATTTGTGTAGGATCATATCATTTACAAATAGAGTTTTACTTATGCTTTGCCAGTTTGGATACTTTTAATTTCCCTTTCTTACAGCTCTGGGTAAGACTTCAAGCACCACATTGAATAGGAGTAGTGATACAGGGCATCCTTGTCTTGGTCAGAAGGGGAATGCTTTCACTTTCTGTTGAAAGTAATGTTAGCCATTGGTTTTATGTATATATCCTTAATTATGTTGAGGAATTTCTCTTCTAATCCTATTTTGTTGAGTGTTTTTATCAGGAATGGAAGTTGTTGGATTTTGCCAAATGCCTTTTCTGCAGCAATCAATATGATTATATGTTTCTTTTCCTTTGTTTTATTTATGTGGTGTGGATTATGTTGACCTTTTTAATTAACCTTCTTTGCATCCATAGTACGAATTCCACTTGGTCGTTCCCCAGATACATTGTTGCATTCTATTGGTTAGGATTTTGTTTGAGAATTCATACATCTATGTTTATGAGGGATATTGGTCTATAATTTCCTTCCTAGTGATGTCTTTGCCTCGTTTTGGTATCAGGGTTACACTCACTTTATAAAATGAATTCTGGAGTTAGTTTTCCATCTTTTCCTGTACTCTATAAAAATTTTAGTACAATTGGTATCAGCTCTTCTCTGAATTTTTGGTTAATTCATCAGGGAAGCTGATTTGGCCCAGCTTTTTGTTGTTGGGCCCAGATTTTTGTTGTTGGGAGTTTTTCAATGAATTGATCCATTTATTCTTTTCTGTTATAGATCTGTTCAAGTTTTTTACTTCATTCTGTGTTAGTTTAGGGTCGGTAGTGTGTTTCTAGATTTTTGAATATGTTAGAATATAATTCTTCATAGTATTTTCTTATTATCCTTTTTATATCCATTGGTTCTGTTGTGACATCAACCATTTCACGTCTGTTATTTATATTTTCTTTTCCTTTGTTATATTTGTACATGGCTGGTTGATTTTGTTAATCCTTTCAAAGAACTAGCTTTTTGTCTTGTTGATGCTTTCTGTTTTTATTTCTTGTGTTTTAGTAATATATATTCTGAT